GTATTTGAAAGCAAACAAGGTAGTTTCACTGGGAGAGAGAAACTGATATGCCACAAATTCTTTTGAGAAAGTTGTATCTGTCTAGAGGAAGATATATATACAATTATATATTTGGGTGGAACATGCTATATAGATTTTAAGACTGAGTTCCTCTGGCAACATGCTGCAGATTTTTAGAGCAGGTGTCATAAATGTGATCCAACATGCATAACTGAGAATGCTAAGGGGAAATCTGCTTATTAAAGCCTACATGGTCAATACAAGACATTTATGGAAATGTTTCCATTTCTTCCTAAATTTTAAGAAGTGACTTCCATAGATTGGGAATCATACCAAGAAGTCCAAGAGTTATGTTACCATGGTTAAGGAGCAGAAAAAAAACATGTACATTTTTTTAAAAAGGAAAATAGGATTCCTTCAAAAAACAAAATTTTGTTCAAATGAAGAGAGATAAGAACCCAATCTCTGGTAAACTCTTATTTTATGCTTAAAATAAGGAATATAAGAAAAAGAATCCTAATTTTATTCAGGAGTCAGAAGAAATAAAAATGATATATTTCTAAGCTTATTCACAAATAAAAATTAACAAATCCCAAGTTCCAAAAAGCATCTGAATATTTAAATACTATTATTATTATTATTATTATTATTATTATTATTATTATTATGTCTGATATTTAAAAATAAAAAATTGTAATGTCAAACCATGTACCAAAATATGTAGCTTCACCCAGAAATTAGCCTTTGTAACCCTGACTTTTAAGATGAGACGTAAATATAGCTAGGAAACTATAGGCCAGTTAGTTTAGTGACTTTTCTGGGGTAAGCTGGTAGCACATTTAATTAAAGCTGATTAGTTTTTTAATAATGAGAATAAGTCTTGCTATAAAAAAACAAGTATGGCTCTACAAAATGCCCTCTCCTACTAATGTTGGGGGCTGACATTCTGTTCAGTAATTACAATCTTGGAAGCTGTGCATATGACATCATAATTACCCAAACTCACTTTTATGGTTATAGTGCCAATGCAATGATTGAAAGTGATTGCAAAAACTATCTTTTCAGCCATGTAGTTCCCCCCCCCCCATAAAGGAATTTCTAAGGTGCTGGAAAGTGAGGGGGTGAACTATGAAACACCTAGCCTCTCCTGGTAGCAGGGGTTGTTGTAGCTATTTTTTCTTTATGGTCTCTGTGACTCACACAAATGGGTTAGCCATGCCTGGGAAGTGCATCTTTCCGTGTGTCAACAAGTTTTGTGGACATATTCTCAGCCTCATAAAATCCCATGTTTGATTAGCCTTAAAGTCATCATAAGTCAGAAACAACTTGGAGGTAGACAACAAAACAGCAAATATTATACTTTCACTTCAAAAAAGATTTTAACAAAAGTCCTTTATAGAATGAGGAGATTGGTAAAACAGGTATGAGTTGTCATTGTTAATTGCCATCAAGTTGACTTTCACTTATGGTGAGCATATGAATGAGAGACCTTCAAGTTACCTTTTCATCATCAGGTCCACATTTCACAATGATAAATATAAATTGAAAATAGAATAGAATGGATAATTCTAACTTTAGTATTAAACGAAATATCTTTACACTTTAGAATCTTTTCTAGTTCCTTCATAGCTGCCTTTCCTGATTTCCTGACTGCAATCTCCTTTCTGATACTTTTTTGCTACTTTCTGCTAGTAGAAATGTAAATGGACATTTTTAACCCTTTCTCAGTATACAAAAACCTAGGGTCAATTATTGAAATTAATCAGAAAATTCTGGACAGACAAAAGTACTTTCTTTGTACAGTGTTTAATTATTTTATGGAACTCATTGTAATAAGAGGTGGTGATAGTTTTAAGATAGTTTTAAGGGAACATTGTGTAAATTTATAGAAACTGGGTATATTAACAGCTGCAGATAGCCACGTACCAAGGCCATGGGAGTATGTGAATCAGAGTTGGGTTTTTAGAGTACAACACCCAGATATTTTTAGAGTGCAGCACCCAGATTTCTCAGCAAGGTTGGCAGTTTGAGGCCTGATCACTGCGTGACAGAATGGGCTCCCATCACTAGTCCCATCTTCTGCCAACCTAGCAGTTTGAAAGCATGTAAAAGTGCAAGTAGATAAATAGGTACCACTTCAGTGGGAAGGTAATAGCATTCTGTGCAATCATGCTGGGCAAATGATCACAGAGTTGTCTTTGACAACATTAGCTTTTCAGCTTAGTAAGGGAGATGAGCACTGCAGTCAGTCCACTGCAGTTGGCCATGACTAAACAATCTTGTCAAGGGAAAGCCTTTACCTTTACCTTTTTATGGCTAGTCAGCATGACACCTGGGACCACCTGGGAGGTGTGGACCCCAAAAGAAGTTTTTTCCAGCATCTAATCTGAGTACTACTCCTAGGGAACAATAATGGGAAATGACTGTTGGTTTCATATCATGTTGATTGGCATCCAAATAAAGACATCTACTTGGCCCATGGTGGGGGGAAAGGATGTCAGATTTGACAGAGTTTTGGTCTAATCCAGCAGGAGTCTTTTTATGTTAAATGCAATCCTAGTACAACATGTGTTGTCATATTTCATTTTTGAGTCATTCTCCCCCCAGAACATGAACTCACTATAATTGTGTTTCTCAGTGGGCTATCTTCAAACAGCAGTGCAAAGCACAAGAAACACAGTGAAATTTTACTTTTCTTGGAATTGCCATTTCAGTGAAAAGGCACAAGGCATAGGTATTTTAATTCTGGATCTGGAAGTAAATTAAACCCTTAAGGAATGTAAGTTAAAAATCATAATCAGTACACCATGGCTTGCCATAACATGTATAATGCAGGCTGTCCAATTAGAATTCTACAGTTTAAAAACAAAAGGGTGAAGCAGATTGCCCCTTTGCACCGGCTTGGGGATGGCAGCTGAATTGGCTTGGGGATGCCACATGCTCTGATGCTGTCCCTAAGCAGTCATCACGCCACCCACCCAACCACACGGCGGTCAGCTTTTCAGTACCCCAGCAGCGGCAGCAGAAAAGCCAGAGTGGGACCATGGTGTATGGTTGCTGTGATGCCCATCTGGGCTTTTTAAAGGCAGCGTCGCACCGCCCCTAATCACCCCATACTTCCTAGACTGATGAGAACACAGTTATTTTAAAGCCTAGTGAATACAATCTTTTGGCTCTTTTTCAGTTGATCCAATAGTATAGTCAGAGCTTTTGAAAACATATTTGCTATTGAATTTTTTATCAAAGCAGAAGCAAAGAGGGTAATTTGTTGCTGTAAATGCAACTCTTGCTAATCAGTGGGATGAAGCCAGCCAAAGCATTTGTATAAGATATAACCAAAATAATGTCTAGTAAACATTTTTAAAGCAATTTATTGATTCCAAAGAACTCTACAGTGGGTCTGTGAGTGGGTGAAGTCAGTTATTAATAGCCATACACTTACATGCTTTTAAGATGAGCATTCATTAGGGAACCTGTGTTGGAGATGCATTTCCATATCAAAGTTGCCTAATTCATGTTTTTATGAAAAATTCTGGAAACCTTTGATTTATCATTATCCTTTTCTGCATTTTTATTTTGTTAATACACCTAGTAGCAAATCAGCTCTATCATCTGAACTCCTCAGATTTTATCCTTCTATGTATGTGTGTGTGTGTGTGTGTGTGTGTCTATGCATTTTAAATCTTTTTATGCTGTGGACATCTCTTTCTGACTAAAGGTTGTTTTTTCTTTAATTCTCAGTTGATCTGACCATTTTACTCTGTGTTTGTGTGTTGTAGTCTTCAAGTCATTTCCAACCTATGGTGACCCCCCAAGTGAAGCTATCACAGAGTTTTCTTGGCAAGTTTCTTCAGAGAGGGTTTGCCATTGCCATCCTCTGAAACTAATAGAGTGTGATTTGTCTAAGGTCACCTAATTGGTTTTCATGGCCAAGTGGGGATTCGAACCCTGCTCTCCAGAGTCATAGTCCAACCTTCAAACCACTACACCACACTGCTGTATCATGCTATATGGTAGGAGTTGAGAACCCATGGATTTTGTATGCAGGGGAATCCTGGAACTAAACCCAAGCAGATACCATAGAACCCACTATATGGTGTTTGGGGGTAGTTTTTCATCTGTACTGTTTTTAATAAGTTGTAAGCTGCTCTGAGCCCAGTTATTACGGGAAAAGTAGACCATAACTGATTTGTTGTTGTTGTTGTTGTTAGAAAGTAGAATATAACTGAATTGTTGTTATTATTTTAAAGAAAATACATGCAGAGAGTTCTTACGATATTGTTCTGTTATGTTATAGGTTGTTTTTATGCCCTCTTTGACCAAAAAGGTGCATAAGGTAGGTTCATAAAAACTGAAATAGAAATATGAAATGACACTAGATTCTTTCTTTACTGATGCAGGTTACTTCTGTGGGATTGTGATGACAGAAGCTACAGCTATTACATTGAAGTTTCTACAAATCAGCAGCAATGGACCATGGTAGCTGACAGAACTAAAGTTTCTTGCAAGTAAGTTGCATGTACTGAGACTTTTAAAGTGAGGGATTGAATCCTTGTAAACGAACAACTGTTGGAAATACAACACTGGTGATGGGCGGAAAGATTGCCAGGGTAGGAGCATCTCAACACTTGAGATTTTCAGGTCAAATCTTGATGGCTACTGGTGAGATCAGAAATGGGCCCAGTTATTGCATGGCACATTAAATATTAACCTCAGTTGCTTAGAGCAATGTAAAAATACATTAAAAACATAAGGCTTAACAGGTGATTAAATATTTATGTGGTTGAAATTGAAGGTGAGGAGGAAATATAGAATCCTTTTAATTTTTCTAGTTATAAATCACACAGAAGCAAAACCTTTTCCCAGCTCTCTAACACCTTACCAAGTACTGCTTTTAAGACCATGTGGAAGTTGTAATCCAGCCAAACAATCAAAACAGTGACGTTTCCAAACTCTGTTTTTAATGGTCTGCTCCTGTTTAACCAGTGGCCTTCACTGTCCACATCATTTTTTAATAGTCAGGTTATGGAATCCTCCTTACCCTCCAAATTAGTCATTATAATCATTACAATGCTACTAATACAGTATTCAGCAAATATATCAAGGATGATGATGATAGTAACAGAGCAATAGTGATCAATAAATCATGCCTATGTATGTATCTATGTATATTAAGAAGCCAGCCTTATTGAGTTTAGTGAGACTTGTAAATTTGACCAGACAACTCTATACTACTTCCCAGGTTTGTTAGATAAGGCAACAGAAAATAGAGGAATGAAAAGTTAGAAAGAAAAAAAACAGGTTGCATATTGAAGTGCTGCATGTTGAAAAGCATAGACACTGTTTGAAATTAGGGGTGGGGAGGAAATAAGGAATCCTTTATCCAAATGGAGCATATATTTTCATATATTACAAATGGACCTCAATCTTCTGATTGTAGAGGGTTGACATGTATATTGCATATGAATCAAACATGGTGCCTTAGAAAAATATGGGATCTACTTTGATACATTAGAATGATTTTTTTTATGTTACATAAAGAGCCAATTTTAGGGATGGAATCCTAGGTAAAAAGGTTCTCCTGGGCTGCATCCGCACTGCAATAATAATCCAGTTTGACACCACTTTAACTGCCATAGCCCAAAGCTATGGAATTTTGTGAGACATCTAGCCTCTGTTGGAGAGCTTTGTGAGACATTTAGCCTCTGCCAGAGGGCTCTAGTAACACAAAAAACTATAGTTCCCAAAATTTCATAGCATTGGGCCACAGCATTTAAACCAGTGTCAAACTGGATTATTTCTGCAGTGTGGATGCAGCCCTGGTAAATCCAACTTGAAAGTGAATACTTAAACACAAACAATTTATTTCTGCTGCTGTTGGTTTGTACTGTCTTGTTGATGTTTAATAATAATAATAATAATAATAATAATAATAATAATAAAACTTATTTATATCCCGCCCAGTGGTACTCCAATCAGGGCGGCTTACAAATTTAAAACATACAGTCCATGATAAAAACATATAATACAAGACACCCCCCACCCATCCCCATTAAAACAGTATTAAATCAAGCAGTTTAAAACATCAAATCAAATTAAGTTTAAAAACCCAACACGGAAGAACAACTAAAAAGCCTGATTCGGTGATCCTCTCCATCTTTCGATGGGGCCACGTGAGGAGCATCATTAATGCGGCTATTTATGTCAGGGCGGGAATAACTAGTCTGGAAAGGCCTGCCGGAAGAGATCCGTCTTGACCGCCTTTTTAAAGCTGTCTAAAGATGTTAGTAGATGGATCTCGTCCAGCAGGTCGTTCCACAGCTTAGGGGCGACGATTGAAAAAGCCCTCTGGGAGGTAGCCACGAGCCTCAATTTCTGAGGCTG